GCATACATCTGGAGGCGTCTTTTATATTTCACGGTCATATGAAAATTTACCCCGATCATCATCATCATCATCATCATCATCATCATCAACGTCAACGTCAACAGTTATCATCCAATCATGTGATCATTCTGTCTACACGAGAGTGTGTGTATATGCTAGGGTGCGGTTTATAGATGCGGCGCTCGCACATGGATAGCCCCTCATATAGTGAACGGGGAGCCTCCAGTACCGAACTGGAGTCATTTGTGTGTGTGTGTGTTTGTATGCATCCGGGTTCCATTCGTGTTCGNAATCAGGTCAGTTCGGGACCGCGGAACCACTGAGTTGAATGGAATAATAATAGGCATCAACTACATCATCCTTATCGTCGTCCTCCTCCTCCTCCTCCTCCTCCTCATCATCATCATCATCATCATCATCATCATCGCACTTTTGAATTGTGGATGCCTCCTGTCAATCGCTTGACAAGTCAGACCTTGAAAAAAGAAACGAGTGAATTTCAACGCGATACCACTCACTACATACTCCGTTCCAATCCGGTAGTGAATGCGTCCGGTTAAAAAAAACTCATATATGAACCGGCCGATTACCGCGTCGAAAACGGTTGGAAAATGTTTCTTCATGTTTTGTGAAAACCAGCGTTTGTTACGCGTGGGAAAGTGAACATGATTAATTGAGTGCTAACCGGTTCGGTAGAAAGTAATTAGTGGAACGATTTATTTCCTAATAAACTAGGAGGTGATAAAAGAATGATAAATGATCGTGATCGTTAATCGAGGAATGTCATCATCCTGAGAATGGTTGTAAGGTAGAATAAATCTTTGACCGAGGATAAGCTTTCTAACCTGCAGTTACTTTCTATGACTTCGATACCTATCGATCACTGTTTGAATCAGATGCGAATTAATCGAATAATGAATAAATCGACTGGTTGGTTGATCGGCAATATGTGGTGGCGCAGTGGTTTAGTCACGGTCACTGTATACTTTGGACACTATGGTGCGAAGTTCGAACCTCGCCACCACTACCCACGTCTGGTGGTAGGCAGCTCTGTTGTCGTCCGGTTCAATACGACACCTAACCTAGCGGGGCCTTATATGGTTCGCCACTCCAAGTCCCGGGGCTTAGGTTACCGGTTTCCATGACGGAGTAGCAGGTTTTCGTGATTATGGGGTTCCTCCCGTCTGCTATTCATCACACAAATGTGTGTAATTGAAAAAAAGTCGACTGGTTGACAAATTAACAAACTGATTTATTTGCTTCTTATTCGTTGATCCATTCATTCATGTACCCAATAGTACATTGCCAGACTGGAAATTTATGATTTAGTTATTGAGAAGCGGATCGGGAGATTCGATTTGTGTATCAAAGTGCATTCATTCGTCGTGCAGACCCAAAGAGTTATCCATCAATGAAAAACCTTGAAAGCGCTGCATAGCTGTTTCATCCTCGTTAGAACTCACTACTGTATTGTTTTGTATTGTATTATGCATAACTTTTACAAGCACTGAAGCTTCCATTCCAGTCTCAAAAAACCTATACACACCAACCGTCACAGAGAACATATTCAACGGGGAATATGTTTGCAGATATGGGGACGTATCCTAATCCATAGTTAAAACAAGGTTCACTTGTTACCCTCTTTTTGTACTTGAGTAAACGTGCAAGATAGGGTATAGCTGAATTTCGGTAAGCGTTTATATGAGATAAAATTTGGCTTAACTAAGAGCACGGGGACGGATGGGACCGACAAAGTGTCAGTTCTGCATGCAATGGGTGAGGTCAGGATCTGTACGAATCCTTTCCGCAATTTTCACACGGGAATTTACGTGATACTCTCAAAGCTTTAAAGCTGACTCATCCACAGGAATAGAACAAACGAGACAAAGTATAGTTCAACCACGGCGTAAGACTTGGAAGTCCTGTTTAAGAAAGCCAGGGAAACTGACTGGGGAACAATAGAGTAAGATAGGGAAAACACTTTGATACACAAAGGTAGGAACGAATGACTGGGATATGTGAAACTTTCCGAGCTTTCTGAGTTGAAATGACAGGTGCTGTAGTTTACCAATGCAGTTATGGATGTGGGTTGATCAATAAAGATTGTTTTCCATGGTTACACCAAGATATTTGACAGAGTTCACTCAAGGGAAAGGCTTGTTATTTGCCATTGTGTGGTCTGCCACATTTAATGGGGTTTAAGCTTAGCCCCAACAAGGAGGAGAATGATTGAATTTGGTCCATATTGTTGATGAATGAGCTTTGTTCGTACGAAGAAGAAATGGGTTGGCACAGCACAACGTCATCTACGTATTTCAAAATACGTGCAGCAGAAACATTGTATTGTATCGTATTGTATTGTATTGTATTGTAATAACTTCTGCAAGCATAAAGCCCACATTTCAGTTAAAAAGTAAACAGTTTGGAGCAAGGGAGAAAATGAAAATAACAATGAAAAAAGAGATATCAGTTTCGAAACTGTTAACAAATTCTGTGAAAACTTGTTCTTTGTTAACGAGAATACGTGCTAATGAGGGTACTGTGGAGTTACGATAAATGTTTATTCTAGAGGGAACACAACGATATTGTGATCTAGTTGAGGGATGGGAACAACAGGAAGTTAGGTCAGCGTGTAGCGGATGTGTGGAGTCGATGAGAATCTTATGCGCAAACTTTTCTCGTGCATTCAAATGACGTTCGCATAGGCTAGTTATCAACTCCTTTTGTGGGATTGAAGAGACACGGCGAACGATGGTCAATCCACGTCGAAGCAAATTAAAATCTTTCTTAAGGAGGTTGGGAAAAATAACAGGTGAGCAATAAAGTAAAACAGAGAAAACACATTGATACACAAAGTTGGAAATAATTAATTGTGGAATATGAAACTGACGAAGTTTGCGGATATGAAAAGAAAGTCGTCGAAGCTTACTGACGATGTGTTGAATGTGAGAGGTCCAGTGAAGATTAGTATCAATAAAAACGCCCTGGTATTTAATACAGTTTACCCGGGATACTGGTTCGGAACCAATCGATACCGGTTCAGATGGGAAAGAAGAGCGTGATATAAGGAACATCACAAATGTGCACGAAGTTTTCCGGAATTGTTGACTACGGGTTTAGATGAAGCTATCCCAAGTCTAGTGGTTTGTCCCCTATCAGTAAAATAGTTAGGTAACCAAGCTAACAATTGCTTGGGGCAGTGAAATGATTTCAGTGGTGTGTATCCAGTAAAATCCCTTGGAATTGGAACCCAGGTAATCATGATTGTCAATTCTGATTGGCTCACCACTTGGATTACATCGCGCACTGGATCCCGCCAGCTTCTTACACGTCGACAAAATGAGATGAGGTTTTTATTGATTACTTACACTAAAAGTAGCCGAACTTTACCAGACTACTCCGTAGTACACTAGGCCCTGATCCGTTACGACAAATAGGGTTTTAATGAAACAAAGCACACATTCGATTTCATGGATAATAGATGTAAAATCCCCGTTCAGATTTTGCTACTGTCTTGATGGAAAGCCGTAGATCGGGGTGCGGATCACTGGCTGATAAGAATCACATACTTTCAACGACAGTGACGGATGAGCGTGTGTATTCGATGACAGTTTTAACAGGTAGGCTAACAAGATTTTTCTCAGCGGGCAGATATGTTCATGTGGTCCCGTCTGGAGTACCATTGATGGAAAGCACTCTTTGGTAAGAGCTAAACAAACCTTTTGTTTCAATGTTCTGTTTCCATGTTCACCAAATAAAAACGGAGTACGATGATTACCGGGGAAAAATTAAACTTAAAAGAATGTGGACAAAAATGCAATCAATTTGTGTTGGTTGTATAACGGTCTCTTGATATCAAAATGTGGCTTCCATGGATTCATCTTTTTTAAAAGGTTCTGGTCATTGTCATTCCAAATCTTGTTTTAAACAGTTTACGATGTGGGGGTGGG